CAGGCGAGGGGCTCGCCGAGTAATGGGGTCGGCTATGGGTTCGAAAGACCCGCCAACCCTACGTCCCCTGTTGTGGCTGCTCCAATGCCTACCTTTGGGTTACCTAGTAGACCCGAGGGATGGCAGCGGCCCAATGATAGTTCTGAGAGACCAGCCCGGCCTTCTAGCTTGGAGATGCCTCGAGGCTCGGATATGCTCTCAAATGAGGCCAGCAGGGTGGAGCCAAAGGATTGCTCCAAAGTATGTGACATGGTCCGAAAGTGGGGTTTGAAGTTTGATGGCCGTAGAGACCCTGTATCATTCCTGGAGCGTCTTGAAGAGCTGATGGGGTCCTACTCTATATCATCAGAGGACCTGCTCAGAGCGCTGCCGGAGCTGCTGCAAGGCTCAGCGCTTCTGTGGTATAGGAATTGTAAGGAGCTCCTGTATTCATTCGAAGCTTTCCGACATCAGTTTGAAATCCAGTTCTTCCCACCAGGATATTGGAGGAACTTGGATGAGGAGATCCGGAAAAGGACACAGGGTGAAGGCGAACACTTTAGAGACTACGTCGTTGCCATAAGTACCTTGCTTAGGCGTAGCGGTACGTTGTCGGGGCATGGTAGATTGGACTTGATCTACAACAACATGCGACCTGAGTACAAACTCATGGTGCGAAGACGGGACTTCCGCAATCTGGCCGAGATGATTGAGTTGGCTGAAGATTATGAGGCCTATCTGCGAGAGAAGGCAGCCTTCCGGCCTCCACCTTCACCCAACGTAGCGCTGGTTTTGGAAACCGCCTACGTTCTCAGGAAGAAAGCTGAGAAGAATCTTGAGACTGTCACGTTCGAAAGAGGTAGTTAGATTCTTAGCTTGGGCATTAGAGTTGTGTATTGGATTATAGTGGCCTAGTAGACCCCGCCTGGTGATAACACGCGTTGTGGTTTTTATTGGCAAGTCGTCGTGTAACTCACCGTGTTTTAGGCACTCTGGGCTTAACTATTGGATAGTTAGGACGAAGCCCGAATTGCGTAGTCAGCAACGACCCCCTAGGAGTGTGGAGAATCGGCGTAGGCCTGGTAGTGATTATTGCACGTTTGTTTTGGTGACTTGTTTTTGACTTGTTCACAGTGCCCGTGTATGAGCCAGTCCTATACCGGTTAGACCCGGCTTTTGGCCTAGTGGTTTCCCTGACCTTGTCGCAGACCCTGGAACTTTACCCAGCCATTGTAGGCTGAGCTATCCCCGGCAAACGGCGACGACTGCACTTCTAATATTATTTTTCCAGTGCAGAAAATCTCGTCGCACATTTAAATGTTATAAAGAAGTATACATTATTGTGACTGTTATGACGATAACATTCATAATATTCGTATGAATGGACGGTGTAAGGTCTTCTTTTCAGTGTGGCTACCATAAAGTTATATATTTCCACATATCTAGATGTTAAATATGTTAAGGGTGTTCTAAATTTATTTACAAAGAGCCAAAAAACTCATCCAATAATTTAAGAAGCTCTATTGATTTAGTACTTTTTCCCGCATTAGGTTAAGGTCGACTTGAAAATCTGTTTTATCTGCTAAGAATTAAATAATTGTATTAAAAGAAATATGTTAGACAAGGAATAATATTTCTACGTAATATTTTTCCGTTTTATATTTGAGTTTATGCTTTTATATAAGTTGCTTAAATTGCATAAAATTGTATTCATTACATGATAGTTTGCATAGAAGTACCCTTTCCATGATGTGTTAGCGCTTTATAACTCACATTATGATTAACGTCATTAATTCATAAAATGTGACTGTAGCAAATTGCAATTAAGATTTTGCACATTTTTGTTTGATTGAGTTTTGTAGCTATATAAAATAAATACGGCAGTATATACCTAGGAAATAAAATATTACAAATATGTTTTCTACTTAGGGCGCACGTTGAGCCTGAAGGTAATTTCTGACGGTTGATGGTTCATAACAGAAATAAGTGTTTTGAGTAACCTACGCATTATAATAATACTAATGTCCCTATCGCTAAGATAAAAAATACCCCGTCACAGCAAACCTGAAGACTAAGTGAATTTCCATTTATATGGCTGGATTTTATATTGATACAAAAATATTCCCTTTAAATCGCTAGATTTATTTCATATTTAAATTATATTTATTTTACCGAATACTGGTTTTCTGCTAATAGAAAGGTATTGTGGTGTGTTTTTATTGAACTATTGAAGGCTTATATGGAAGAAATAAAATTACAAACTTGTATTAAAATATACCCATAAAGATGCAAAATATAATTGTTTATTTATACACCATGAAAATATCAAGTACATTTTTTATTTACAATATTTTAAATACCATCTGTAATCCTTAGGCATAAAAATACGCTTCAATGTACAAAATGATTTCAACATTTATAAGCTCTTAAAAGTCGTTAGGAGGAAAAAATTTTGAAACTTACTAAGACTAGACAAGAGTCACAATTATGCGAGAAAATGGATGCTGTGTACCAGAATGGTTATTATTATTTAAAATCGAATTAGCTATATAAAAAATCTTGGTAAATAAATTTACGCCACACTACATTATTTTGACAAACTTCCCGCACAAGGATTTAGTCCAGAAAACAGCTCTTTGCCGCCAGCTTATTCAAATGGGGTTTCATTGCGTACTACCATAGACTAACCAACACAAGTAGACTTCTCATCCCATTGTAAATTTTGAAGCACGTTTTTCGTGTGTAGTTCATGTACGTGACACATGGGCGTTAGTGTCGACAAAACTTTGTTTCTATTATTTTAGGGTTAATTTCTTGATTTGTGCTTTACTGTTTGGTTATATAACTAGGGGACAAGTTATTGTTTATGATTAGATCGTATTACTTGGTTAAACGAGGTTTTAAATGGCTGTAATAACGGGAAACAAATTGTAAACAAAACACGACCTCTACATAAACCGTACAGAACTAACAATAAAATTGTCTTCAGCTGTTCCATAAGGATGAGAAATCTACTAAGGGAGTATGTTTTATCTATGGTACTACTGTACTGTAATGAGTTTTACCGGACACCAATCAGCTGATTATACTGTATTTAGGTGGCAATGAATGGTTATAAACAAAAACATAACCTCTCTTAGAGGTTATGACTAGTGATTTTTAATAATTTAATTGGTGGAAATATATAAGGATTTGTACAGATGTAGTAGTATGGCGTAAACTATCGTACGTAACTCGTCCAAAATGTGTGTACCGGACTCGTATTGTAATCCCGTACTCGACTTCGTCTTGCACGGGAACGACCACACTCGTCCGGTAAACACTTATTTTCGGGACTAGTAGTAGTAACGTAATATACGTCTTACATCATATTTCATTGAAGTAAAATTAGCATTAGTCAGTTATACGAACATACATTTTCCAGTAACATAGAACTTTAGTTATTGAAGTTTCATCTCCAGAGACTACAAGTCTTGCAAACGGAATTCCGTCATAAAAGGGTTTCTGTGTAACTAATGTATGTATGTAATTTTAAAGACGGTGATTTCGCTATTCTTTTAGATTTTAATTACCATTGTGTCCATAGATTTTTCTTTTCTATGTTCCTTGGCAATAGGATGACTTAACTAGTGTTATTGTACCATAATTATGGTATAAATAATACTATGATATATATATTTTGGTATGAAGTAAACAAAAAAATAAATATAGTAAGTGGCATTGAATGAACATTATTACCATTTAAATTTACTATATCAAACAAATGGTCCAAGTTCATTTGCATTTGAGAAAATTCAACATAGTTTTCAATTTTACATTTATTCACATAAATATATTGCGAGTCCCATGGTCCCATGCCTCACTTTAAGTTTAAGTTTCCTAAAATGATACACTCGCTTAGCTTAGTGAAGAGGTGTTAGGTCAATGAGACATAAGACTGCTTAAGGGTGTTACTCAACGTGTAATGATCAAAAATTTAAATTTAGAAAAACAACAAAAGTTACAAACTGTTACAACAGCAAAAGAAAACTTTGAAAAGGCAAAAATCAACAATAATAAGATAAATTAATTTACAACGTTAAATTTACAAGAAAAGAAAATCAATTGAAAATATAAAAGAATTAGTTACTGACAAAATATATGACTTGTATGTTTGACAAAATTTTAGTTAGATATTTTATTCTTTCTACATACTGTCTATTGTCCCAGAAGCACACGTACCGATACACGCTTTCCCAAACTCCTGATCTTCTTGGTCCCGTGGCCCGTGGTGATCTCCTCGATTGTCCTTTCCAGGTCCGAGACTCGTCACCCCTCCATCTTCTTCATTAGCCCTTCTCACTGGCTGATTACCGATAGGGTGCGTGGCTTATAGGTTAACGATGTTTCTAGGAAGTCAGCCCTACCGGTCATCGCCTAGCTAACATCAGCTGGGAAAGGAATTTGTAAATCGATGCTCATGCTACTGTTCTACTCTGTTCACACCAACTGGTCGACTAAGTGTAATGTGAACAGAGTGTCTGCATAGATGAGCACCGTGGGTTGATTTATTTTGTGTTTTTGATTTATTTATTTTATTTATCAGTGGCTGATTGAATTTATACAACCATCATAAGTGTATTATTAAATAGATCAAACATATATCAAATTTATTCACACTAGTCCCTTGTGTCCACAGATGATTAAACAACATAAACAATAGCTTTACACATTTCACGTATAAAAAAGCTTAAATAGTTTAGTTCTTTTATTAACTTTTTCAATATGTTAACCATTAATTACCTACACTACGTACATTAAAATAGAATCAATTAACTTATAAACCTTTTTTGTTGCTTAAAGATTACACACTTGAAAGTGAACTGCAAAACATTAATAAAGTTAAGAGAAATAAACGAATCTATGAAGGGATGTCGGTTACTCATAAAAAAAGTTAATTGGTTATCAACTCGTGTTTCTACACGATTCATGCAGAATATATTTAAAACAACAGGGATTTAAACATTCTTATCATTTCTTACCTCAGCTTCTGTTGACCGATCTGAAACCAAATGCATTTAATTAGACCAGGCAAGGAGAGAGTATAACATACTAAACAAAATTGATTTAGATTTATTAAACCGAATATAAAGCAATAACTTATACGATACGTAAAAAAATTTAATCCTGAACTTTTAGTAACTCATGCCATTCAAAAATTGTAACACTAATTCATACTCTAACTGTTAAAACACATAAAACCACATGATTATATTACAATAGCATAGTATTATATATTATTGCACAGACAGAGTGCCATACTAGAAATATAAATGTTGTTTTAATTACAAAAAGAATTTTTTAAATATACAATTTTCACAAAGTTAAAATGTTCCTATCATTAAAATTCAATTTCAGGGTGTTAAAGTAGCTAATAAGTTATAAGTATGTTAGGATAATTTAAGATATATAATGCTTCATTCAAACCTACTACAAACAATCCAGAAGAAAGAAAAAGAAATTATAAAAAAGTTCTTCTGTTCAAGTACTTCAGAAAAATTTATACCTGAACTTCTTAGAAATTAGCCTTGCTTTAAATTAATTTGCGTTATGAAAATAAAGGTTGCTATTAACTACTTTAAGCTCGCTCAATCACCAAAAATAGTTTGGAAACCAGCCAGTATATAATTTAATTAATTTCAAAGGTACTCAATCAGGAGTACTTCGTCATAACGACCAATTAGCCTCGGGTCGTTAATTAACGGTAGATTTAACTCATTAGAAAAAGTATTTATCGATTCCCGAAAGTGTATTTGGTTATTCATCAGTTAAGGTTTTGAACTCTCCAGCCAATAGAGCTTTTATTACAAGTTTAATCAAAATATGATATCATAAAATGATAGGCTATAATAATTGGTTTAAGGCTACTATCTAATGTATTATGTTAAGTACAGTCCAAACAACTGTAGTATTGCCTATTGATTCACTTATACACATAAAGGAATTAAACGATCAAATATTATTTTATAATCCCAAAGCTTATAGATTTTAGTGTGTTCATTTATAATCCGAAACCAGGGGAAACGAGTAAAAACCGTTGTTGGTTCCACATCTTTGCTCAGTGGAAATCAAGTTTTATGCACCCATAATAATCGTTAATAAAAACGATTAATTTAGATAAAAATGGTTACCGGAACCCCAAAATATTTTGTTGACAGCTTGGAACTTCTAAGTTTATAAAGACTCAAGTTTCACTTAATTTAAAAGGCAGTTACAGAAGATGAATATCGCCAAAATACGTCTCTATATGAACTACATAGGAATCATAGAAAATGCATTGAAAGTATATTTATATGGGTCTCTCAGGCTCATGACTGATTAAAATTTTTAACATTTTATATTGGGTTGAGTTAGAGCACATTTGTTTTGACAGATAATATTCTTTTACGGAGGCTGTTAGAATGAGGTTTAACTCGATGGAGCATTGCATTTAAAAAGGTTAAACTGCCTCTTATATACCCAATTTCGGGGTCACGGGCAACATTTTTAAAATTTTCAAAATGTTCATAATTATGCTGTAAAAATGTGTACCATGTTTAGGTTTATTCTTGTAACCCAATTAAACTTGCATTAGGGGTATCCACAATCTTGCATGACAATATCTCATAATCCTTTTTCCGTGCTTTAATAAAATGAAAATAGCCCATATCTAGAGGTATGTACATGTACATGTAGCGTTAAAAAATCCTTTAATAAGTTTTTCATAACAATTAATACAACCGGTTGAACCTAGAGTGCACTTTAATTTATTTAATATCTTGGGAGTAATTTTAAAATAATTTGAAGTTAAATTTACATAATTAATTTAGTAAACTGCTATACAAAATTCATCTACTGGAGGATTAAATGCATGTTTGTTAAAAAATCAACATAAATTCCTAGATGGGTATTTTTACTGTAACATATTGATAGACTTTTAGTTCAATAACCAAGTAAGTTTCACAATTTGAATTTATACATGCAAAGGATTTCAGTAATGTCAATTGCTAACAGTTCTCCTATGTTTACTCTGAAATGACATCATATTTATTTAAAGTTTAGTTTCTGCACAGCTTTTTTTCAGATTTTCTACACCACTTTCGTAAACAAGGTTTTCCTGACAACTTCTCCATTATATATTTTTTTATATGGCCTTCCTAACAGTGCTATAATTTAAATCACGCTACCAACTTTCTAAAAATATCTTAAACAAAACTGTGTTTGCTAAGTACAATTTAATTAATTATAAGTAATTACCTAACGGGTACAGTTTTCACCAAGAAATTTTCGGGTGAATACATGTAGTACTAGTACTTTATGTGAAAAAAGACTCATGAAATAGCAGTCTAATACTGAGAATATTTTATTAAACCTAATATTATTACTTTACAGGTTAATTTGAAAAATAAAATTTGAAATTTTATTGATTATAAGAAGTTTTACAATTTTTTTTTCTTATAAACATATGTTGGAAAAAGTTTGACAGTTTAGTACTCTACATAGTAATATAAAGACTTTTGGAATAATTGTAAAAGGATTAGTAAAAAGTCAATAAATCTTTCAAAATGTGTTTTCACAAAAAAAACGCAAATAAAATTTTGAGTGATGTCAAAAATAGTAATAAATTCCAAGAGTCAATAAAAGTTGCATGTTTATACTCAAAAACCATAGGGCTCTCAATAAATATTTGTATTTTACTGATTATTGCAACTGAAAAAATTAAAAAACTCAAAATATAAACAACTTCTACATTTTTTATGAAAAATGTATAACATATTCGCATGAATGAAATGATTATAAAATCTTCAATACCTCATGTATAAAATTCTGAGATATACATTTTGTTATTAATTTTATGTACTTTTAGAATATATATAAGGTTTTTTGCTAAACCTAAGTTATAAGTCTCCTATATAGTGTTTTGTAGAAAGTCGCAACTGAAAAATTCATTTTCGAAAAAAGTGACAAGTCATTACAAAGTGATATGGTGAAAAAAAAAACAAGTCATAAACTGGGTTGAAAAACATTGAAATATATATTTTATGACTAAATATGGTTATTACAAATATTTACAAAGTAAGCCTACATTGTATTTGGCATACAAAATTAAAATCGGCTAAGCCTACGCAAAAAATTGGATGCCAACCAAAAAATGAAATAGCCTTGGCCTAAATTAGAAATAAACTTATAATGAAGAAAGTATATTTACAAGCATGGTTATAGGCTATAAACTGTACAAACAAAAAAGAAATAGGCCTAAATTATAAAAAAACTTTATTAATAAGTCGCCCAAAGAGTTTTGTACTGCACTGTCACAGCACTATAAAAAATCACCTGTTTTCAAAATTTCCCACACGCGTATATAGAAACGCCCGTAGATGTTTTATGTATGAACAATAAAGCCCGTAATCTCATCTTCACAACAGTATAGGTTGTTAGTAATTTATTCCATCATAACACAACGAAATATGTGTTTGAGTGTGCCAATGACAAATTCGGCTCAATGAGCCTCTGCCATCTCACACTACACTTGCCAAATTCGGCTCATTGAGCCTCTTGCCAGATGTAGGGTTAAAAATCAAGTAAATAAGGTTAGTCACACACCAATCACAACCTCTATTGCTCACTTGCACATTTTCATCTTATCCGTAGTAATTCTCTCATAATAAACTTGATCTAAACTGGTTGAAAAATATATAACCTTTTTATCCTTAGATGCCATTTAGCCTGTAAAATAAATAATGTTTGTTGCAGATTATGATTTAAAGAGATACATAATGTAATAGTAGTGTACGCAAAGATCGCGTAAGGGTTGTCTTGAAGACATGATTTTAAAGAAGAAAATTTAAGGTAATAGCCTTGGCGAGTGCCTTTAAACTTCTACGAGTGTCTTTAAGGTTAATTACGTGAGTTGCGTACACTAATTAACCTAAGACCGTTTCTTAATTACTAAAAATCATTACTCATAACATCCAAGAGAGGTTTGTTTTCGTTTATAACCTCTCATAGCAACTGATTGTGATGCATTGATTTATTGTTCCAACTACTCACTCATTGTTTAATCAATTAAATTTACCTTAACAGCTGGTAATATGACAATCGAAGTATTACAATCTAACTTTTTTTCTCTCAATACTCGAACCTCATTGGTCCGTTACTCGTGTCGTACAGTAAAACAACAATATTGTTGATTGAATCTTTTCAAGTCAAATAACTGAGCTAAAGCGGCTAGTTAAAAAACCGTCGTTGGTAAACAGTTGAGACGTACCAGTGGTTCAGTAGTTTAACAAATCGTATTTCATATTTATAGGAATTCAATGAATAAGGTCAATCAATGTATTCATTTTTTATTTACTTTTATAATTTACTAATTCACCTTGTAAAACACGATCGACTCGCGAAGAAAATCTTAAATTTATTATAAATTTAATACCAGTAATGTAATGTACTTTTTACTAAGACATGTTAGTATAAGTATATAAGTATATATAAGTGTTAGTAGTTAAGACATGTTAAGCAATAATTTGCATTTAATTTAATTTTATTTTATTTATTAATTCTAAACGTTAAACACCATTTTACAAACAATACAATAATTTTAAAGTGCATACATGTAAGTGAACTAGCAAGCAGACAGTAACAAAGGTAATTAAGGTAACTTATATACATCTATGAAAAGCAAAACAGTGAGTGGTAATATAAATAATCAAGAAAAGAGAAAAAGAGTTCAACGAGAAAAAAAAACTCAACAAGCAAAAGGTAACAAGAATAGACTATTTAAAATGCAAACTTAATAAGGGCATTGTAAATAACAAAGTCAACGAACAGTGATCATGACAAGAACCAAACAAGAACAACAAAAGACAACAACGCTTATATGGCAATAACAAAAGTAAGAATTTAAAACAAGATAATAGGAACTTATAGATATTGAAAAACAGAGAAAAAATATGTGAGTCAACAACCAACAAGAAATAACAACCAATAAGAAATAACAGCAAAAATGGTGTGGTGACATAATTT